AATTCAATTGATTTAGGGGTCGATCTACTGCCGCTTTCAATCGTTCTAGACTATTACATTCGGAGCGCAGCAAAATCCGCTTTCGAAACTGGCAAGCCAGGTATATTATTAATTAAGATCAATATTTATTACTGTGGACTACATTGAAACTGTTTTATGCTTGTTTTGATACAATTGTATGCGTAACATAACGACTTTCAGTTATTCGGCCAGAATAATAATGTAGTAACTTAAGCGAATTTAGTTGACGCTAAGCTGACGCTATTCAACGACGGAAGTGGCAAGCTCGCGGATGTATATTTTCAACCATCTTTTAACATTCGAGAAACCTTTTGCTCAATTTATTGTTGCAATATTTCACCGCGACATTTTCGACGCTACTCTAATAAAATTGCAAGAATATTTAATATTGCAAAGGGTGGCGAACTCCTATATTAACTGCTGTCCGTAACACTAATACTGTAATAGTGTTTTTTGTAAATCCTACAAGACAAAGCGGTTTCAGATATTAAACACCTACAAAGCCAGCTTAAACAATGTGAATATATTCTGTAAGGAATTTAAACGGCTTCGTAAACGTATTTGAACGTTTTGAGCCAAACGTTGAAACGATTTAGCAACATTTTTCAAACGTTTTTCTCCAACCGTTTGAACGGTTCAGCCAGACGTTTGAACGATCTCAAAAATCGTTTCAACGGAACGCTAAAGCGTTTAAACGGATAACGAACGGATAACGAACGATTTTTCAGAACGTTTTTCAAAACCGTTAACGTACGTTTTCCCAAGGAGGGTCACATTTGATGGTATAATCCTGATTGTTTTCTTTTAATTTCCAAATATGTTTCGAAAGTTCCGTTTTGTTTGAGTCTTTTTTATGACGAAAAGATGAAGTGTGGTTAGCGTAACGTTCCTTAAATGTAGTCGCTGTCATACCAATGTAGTGTTTAGTGTCGTTCGTGTTGTTCGTTGTGACTGTGGCTTTGTAAATAATGTTGTTGGTCATACATTGTTTCGGTAGTGGGCAAGTGTTTTTGTTGTCGCAGTTACAGTTGTGAGTTTCCGTATTCTGTGATTGACTGTTCCTAAATATATGTGCGTTGTGTTTGGTGATTATAGACTTAAGTAGCTTACTTTTAAAGTGTTTCTGTTAAAAATCTTGTGTAGTTTGTGCTGTAGTGGGAAGTGTTTGCCAATTAAACTTAAGAATTCCCGTCCTATGTTCGTGTTAACACTCTTACTAAATGGTGGGTTGCACCAAATTATGCTGCGTTGCCTATTCCTACGTGTCTGTTGCGGTGCATCCTGAGTGTACGTAAATTCATGATCAAAGTTACTATGTCTAAGAGCGTTCTGGTAAATAGGTGTAGATTCCTTAAATGTTTGTTCGTCCGATGAGAGAAGTGCAATGCTTTTGTTGATAGCTGTAGGTAATTGTCTTGTAATGCTTGGTGCATGGTTTGAGTGTCTGTTGATGTACAATGGATTGTCATTGGTTTTCCTGTATGGTTTGTGTTTTGCGTTGATCAGGTCGAAAGTAACATCTAAAAAATTTACAACGTTCATATTTACTTCGGCGGTGATTTTCAGGTCAAATTGCTCGAAAATTTTGTGTAACTCTTTTCTAGCTTTGTCTAGTAAACGGGCGGATTTGCTTTTATAATAGCCAAACCATCATCTCTATAAAGTCCGGACTCAGAGGAGGAGTGGTCACTATACCACAATGCATCGCTTCTCATTAATATTCGGAATTGAATTTTGCGAGTCTTTGAAAGATGTTTGTCGAAAAATTGTGGTTGTTTATCGCGATTTTTCACTCTGAAAATTTTGATTTTTGGAAGGTACGTTTTTATAATTGTTTTATTTGTGACCTTAATTGCACGATTTTTGTTTTATGTGGTTGTCGTATCATGTTTCAGTTATGTTAATCACGCATTGAATTACCCTTGGTTTCGGGTCAGTGCACATGTCACAAAAGTGGCTTTGATATTCGCCGGGGATTAAATGCTTTTTAAATCAGGAAATTCAACAACATTTACAGCATCGAATGCAGGAAGGGTTATTCTTTCTATTGATACTTCAAAACACAAAAAATCCCCTCGAACTGACGAGTTATCGCGGTTTGAAAATGGGGTATATTTCGGTGCTATAAAAGAAATGGCATTGATATACGCCAGGGGTTAAATAGTTTATAAATCGGGAAATTCAGCAAAATTCACATCATTGAATTCGGAAAGGTCAAGGTTTTAGCTGATACTTTAAAACATTAACAATCTCCTCCAACCGACGAGTTATCGCGGTTTGAAAATGGGGTATATTTCGGGTATAGTGCACACGACACGAAAACGGCTTTGATATATTCAGGGGGCTAAATGGTTTATAAATCAGTAAATTCAATAAAATTCACATCATTGTATTCAGTAAGGATTACTCTTTCTCTTGGTACTTTAAAACATAAAAAGGCCCCTGAAACCGACGAGTAATCGTTGTTTGAAAATGGGGTATTTTGCTTTTGTTGTCGCCAATCGCGGGAAAAGAGGACTCTACAGGAAATATGGCGCGAGCGCGACGTAAACAAGCCAGCTTTTCTAACATATTGTTCCTGATTGTATCATTTTTTTATAGAATTCGAGTTTATTAATTGGAGCAAAAAATGGAATCTATTAATGATGGCGATGTTGTCACTTGTCATTGTTGATCATGATTTAGAAAATGAGGAAACTCAAATTACTGATACGCCAGAAAAACCAACAAGAAAAACCTGAAGACTATATCTCGTGTGGAAAGTTCATTCAGTCCAGCTTTGGTTCATATAATGGGCCATTCCATTTAATATAGGCACCCCCCCCCCCCTATTGAGGGGTCCCTTCAACCTATTGAGGGGTCCCTTTATAGAACCCCCTTGGATGTGATTTTTGGAAGTTACCCCATGGATATCTTCATATACCCCCTTTAGGATATCGTTTTTGGGTATCACTAAAACACCTAATTTTTGCTATTTTTTTGAAAATTTCTTAAGCTACCCTCTAGGAAAATTTAAGGTAAAAACCCCCTCCCCCCCCTAGGATATCCAGACCCCTCAACAGGGAGGGGGAGGCAGCTTATATTAAATTGAATGGCCCATTCAAAGTCCTGGCACATCAGCGAAGGTATAATAAAAACAATTATGGTAGACGAAATTGTACTTAAAACTTTGTTATTCTTTGTATTCTATTCTTTAAAATAGGGGGGGGGGTGCTCTGGTGCCGACTACCGAGTTGTGTTGGTCATGTGTGCCGCCCGCCCATGAACTACTGTATTTGAATTGTAATTGTTGTTCACAGTTCACTAGGGCTAGGGGGGGGGCACCCCCAGTAAATCCATCCCTGTTTGTATATTCAGTGTAACACCTCTGTGTAACATTATTCTGCAGTGTATAAACATTATTCATGTATGATTATTCATATGTCATCTGTGACTCAATTTCCATTTTAGTAAATGACATACTTTTTTGTAGTTTCCTAGCAGAAAGATAAGGCTGACTCCTTCACAGAAGTCACCAGTGAAAAAACATAAATGGACCTTTGAGGAAAATAAAGCTTTGATCTAGTTATGGAAAAATTTTGTCCATAATAAAATATAATAACAACAATTTACAATATCCTAGTAATCTATGTCACTGTTATAATCGTAGGGATCCATAATAAAATATGTAGGGATCCATAATAAAATAAAATAAAATCAATTTACAATATACTTCTTGTGTGTGTTGGTGTTATGTACTCAGGTGAATAATTATGATGTTTGTGATGTTACTCTGAGTGTGGACTAATATCCCAAAGATCGCAGGTTCGATTCCCACCCTCTGATTCCCACCGTGGTCAGGCAAACTTTTCAGCTTGCCCGATGTGCATGCACACTCAGAATAACATCACAAACATCAATTTACAATGTAGGGATCCATAATAAATTAAATATGTTGGGATCCATAATAAATAAAATAATTTAAAAATATTCTAGTAATCTATGTCACTGTTATAATTGTTTCTTGGGTCATCTCTGTCCCATGGTCCACTTTTCACAATCAACAATGCTGTACTGTGGAGTAATATCCACCAAGCACACATAATTTATTGGTTGTAGATCACAGTTACATCCAGTTTGCCCTTGTAAATTTATTGGTTGTAGATCACAGTTACATCCAGTTTGCCCTTGTAAATTTATTGGTTGTAGATCACAGTTACATCCAGTATGCCCTTGTAAATTTATTGGTTGTAGATCAGTTACATCCAGTTTGCCCTTGTAAATTTATTGGTTGTAGATCACAGTTACATCCAGTTTGCCCTTGTAAATTTATTGGTTGTAGATCACAGTTACATCCAGTTTGCCCTTGTAAATTTATTGGTTGTAGATCACAGTTACATCCAGTATGCCCTTGTAAATTTATTGGTTGTAGATCACAGTTACATCCAGTTTGCCCTTGTAAATTTATTGGTTGTAGATCACAGTTACATCCAGTTTGCCCTTGTAAATTTATTGGTTGTAGATCACAGTTACATCCAGTTTGCCCTTGTAAATTTATTGGTTGTAGATCACAGTTACATCCAGTTTGCCCTTGTAAATTTATTGGTTGTAGATCACAGTTACATCCAGTTTGCCCTTGTAAATTTATTGGTTGTAGATCACAGTTACATCCAGTTTGCCCTTGTAAATTTATTGGTTGTAGATCACAGTTACATCCAGTTTGCCCTTGTAAATTTATTGGTTGTAGATCACAGTTACATCCAGTTTGCCCTTGTAAATTTATTGGTTGTAGATCACAGTTACATCCAGTTTGCCCTTGTAAATTTATTGGTTGTAGATCACAGTTACATCCAGTTTGCCCTTGTAAATTTATTGGTGACAGCACACTGTCCAACTCTTCATTAACAGTATCTGGATCTCGAGGTTGAATTGTTTGAGAAGGTGGGGATGGCAGAATATTGAAATCCCACAAAATAACATTCTCAAAGATAAAAGATTGTCCTGTTCCATCTTGCCCGAGATCACTGAGGTCAGAGAACTGCAACATATGAAAACAATATTCAGTTTAACAAAGTACAATATTAAAGTAGGGCACATGCGGGGACAGTGTGACTCAATGGGTTAACTAGACACATGGGCAGATAGGCCAGCTGCCATTAGACAGAGTAAAACAATCTGGCATGAGACAGAGTAAAATAATAAATGGTGCAATTAATGTGACTCATGCAATTCAATGGATAATAAAATAAATTACTTTAATAGTAATATAAAAATACCAAAGTAATCAAACCTCTATGTCTATGATCAAACCAAATGAACAGTCTAAGCTTCTCTAACTTAAACTATTTTAGCTCTATATATGCTTATATTCAAAATGGAAAGCACAAATATTGACATATTGTTTATACCAACATTGGCTATAAAAATCTGAATCATAAAAGCATTGTGTAGGTACATTGCCTTTGTATTCGCTTTAACGATTAAAGCAAACGACTTACCCTAAAAGCACAACTGGAATGTATCTCTATCAATGCTGGGCTATTGCAATCGGCGAATGTTTCATCAACTTTTAGAGACAAATAGACAATTAAAATAGCGATTCTTCTGATATGCAAATTATCCAGAAAACTGATGTGAATCTCACGGCATTCAAAACTGAACACACGATAACCCATGGGAACCAACAGCGTAGGCTCTGACGATACACAATGAACAAAAAGAAGATCGTGTCCTTCCAAAACTGAAGCTTTATGGCGGTGGTCGGCTTTACAAAATCCGCCATATAATCTCACTCTTGTTGTTTTGATAGTGAAGGTCAAGCGAACAATGAGCGCCCGCTCGTGGAAAATCAATAATATCACAATTATTTGGAATAATCGCAATGCATCACGGTATAGTGACCACTCCTCCTCTGGCTCAGTGGGTTACACCCTCGGCATCCTTTCGTAAGATGTTCGGAAATAGTCGTTGCAATGCAATATGTTTGAATTACATGAAGTAGAAGGCATGATATTATCGAAAAAATAAAAATCAGCTAATTTTTATCCTTTTATGACTATGTCTGCGGATTGTTGTGATATAAATATGGGATATTCGTTGATGACAAGGTATTTATAAAACACAATCGTACTTTTCTGCCCCCTGTGCAAAAGTTAGTATTAATTGTAAGACAAGTGCTCATCACTGTCATCACACCATTCATAAAGGTCCTTTATTAGTCCCTCTTTTGATCTGGCGTTTCGTATGAAATGTAAATATGCTAAGGGCCGGTCATAAAGTATCTACAACCCCGGGGTGGAGGGTAGCCCCGGATTTTTAAAAAAAATTTAACATCCCTCACAAACGTAAGGGAAAAATTTCGAGTCCCATTCAAATATTACTGAAATATTTCGTACCCCATACACTGTACTAAACAGGGCTGTAACTAGACGCGATAATTGGGGAGGGGGTAAATATTCATATATTCGTGTTCTGCCTGACGGATTTCTTTTGATTATATGAATATTCACCCACTCCCCGAATTATTGCGTCTAGTTAATACGGCCCTGCATGGTACTATAATTTTAAATATCGAAATATGTATAAAGACAACAGTCAGGTGGCCCATACTTCCTGGCCTAAGCCAGGCAAAGTGCGCTTACACTATAAAAATCTAGTCCAAAGCTAGGCCTAGGTCAGGCTTAGGCTCGTAGTGTAAACATGGCCATAGCTACTGTACTTACAGTTACAGTACTTGGCAGCATGTTCTTTTACTACATGATATAGATCCTGTTCCATGCATGTCTCACATAAAATTCAAAGCCCTCATGTTGGCGGTGAGTCGTCCACTCCTTGTTCAGAATATTCTGACTGATTCCGTGTTTCCAAACGTAAACTATTTTTGCTGTTGAAAACTCATTTCCATAAATGCGGAAATTATAAGTATCAAAATTATAAGTATCAAAATTCAAATTTATTTAAAAAATGTAAAGTCAGAACAATTAGAGCCCGCATTTCGTTGTTATACGTGCATACTTCGTGTAGTTGTGTTATAGTGGTTGCCATACTCTGTCTCAAGATCAAGAATCAAGATGGCTTCTGAGAGTTATTTTATATCCTCAGTAAATCAGAGCGAGAAAGATGTAACCGTAATCAATATTTTAGTATTTGCTTGAACAAGGCTATGATGACTTGGACCAAATTACAAACAAAACGTCGAGGAAATCGAACGTTTTTTGAAGGATGTTGCCCTTGATAAAATTACAAAGCCAGGCATAATTTTAGCAAAGGACTTGTGGATTCTACCAAACATTGGAAGAGCTGTACATGCAGTTCGTCATATGATTTAATGGCTCCAATTCAATTTAAAGAGTATGTAATTTTACAGCGGACAGTACGTTGGAAAATAACAAAAGATTGTGAGAAGCAAGGAAAAAGGGTAATGACTCAGGCCGATTAATGCTTGGCTCTTGCTTGGCTCTGCCCACGCTTGACTTGATATCTCCGCGCGAGTTGCGCACGCGATTAAACATATATAGCGTGT